CCAGGTGAGAAATCTGCTAGGCCCAGTTCAAAACGTCTTTGCAGTGTTTTCTGTCTTTGGAGCGAGTACTGTGTTCAAACCTCCCATGGTTGGTTCTTTTCTATCTTTGTGGGGTTAGTTTTTCACTTGAAATACAGTTTGGCTTGTTTGTTTTCTATTTATAGTCCAACTTCAAGCTTTTTTCTTTATTCTTCTTAGTTTCGTTTTATGTTTGAATGTAGACAGCATTAACAGGGCTTAACAGTGGTACCAAGAGCAATACTCAGAGGGCGACATGCCTTTACTTTTGCATTTCAGTCCTATCCACCTCCTGCAGGTAACCAACTTTATGAGTTCCCGATTTGTCTTTCTTGTGTTTTTGGTTTTTGTTTTGGCAGCTTGACAGTAGAGGATCTGGACCCTTGACCTTGTTATCAATACCACGTTCTAAACAACGGAGCTAACCGGCTAGCGTTCCTGTGTTTTTTTTTTTTTTTTGTAAAAATAAGCGGATATGTGTATACTTTATTCCTTCTTTATCACGTAAAAGTAGCATGACACGTAGTCTTCCCTGCTTTGTGGCTGATTTTTCCTCGCTTAACAGTGTGTCCTGGAAATCACCCCATCCCGTTCGTGCAGAGCGTGATTCTTCTTTTACGCAGCCGTGTAGTGCTCCGTGCTGAGACAAAGCACAGTCTATGATGTGGTTGGGATATGTTCGTTCCTCCAAAGCTCGTGCTGAAATCTGATCCCCAGTGTGGCAGTGTTGGGAGGCCCGGCTTAGCGGAGACGTTTGGGTCATGTGGCAGGGGCGGGTCCCTCATGAGTAGCTTAGTGCCCTGGGTGGGGGCTGAGTTCTCGCTTTATTAGTTTCCAGGAGAGCAGGTTGTGAAAAGGAGCCTGGCACCTCCCGGCTCTCTCTGGCTTCCTCTCCCGCCATGTGACTTTGCCCCACCACCTTCTGTCATGAGGCCCACGGCAAACGCAGCTATCCCAGAATCATGAGCCAAATAAACCATTAAAAAAAAATAAATTACACAGTCTCGGGTATTCTGTTATAGCAACACCAAAATGGACTAATACAGTTTATCGGCTTCTCTCCTGTGTATAGACATTTGGGTTGCTTTTAATAGTTTGCATTTACAAACAGCATTTCACAGAATAACCTTCCGCACATGTACCTGTGTATTGTTAGGGCCGTGCCTTCAGGATGAATTCCTAGGAGGGGGTGGATCTCTGCAGCGTGGAGATAACCATGAGATTAAATAAGGTATAACGCACATAAACCCTTTCACCCGGGAGGCAAGTCGCGGTGGGAGGCCATTGTCGGCCTCAGGTTAGGCTAAATTCTATTCTCCCTTAACACTTTACTTGAATCCTGAATTTGTTATCTGGGCCTGGGGTCAGGGGATCAGCTGGGGCCAGGGTTCAGTTGGGGCTGGGACTCAACCAGAGTTGGGGCTCAGCTTGGGATCAGGGATCAGTCCATGGTTGAATCTCAACTAGGGTCAGCAGATGCCTGTGGTCACAGGCTTGGTCAGAGTCAGGGTTCAGCCTGGGGTCAGGGCTCAGTCCAGGGATGGGGGCTGGGCTTGGGATCAGGGCTCAGCCAGAGTTGGGGCTCAGCCTCAGAGCACACAGCATGTGTCCCTGTGCAGGTGGCTGGGTCAGGTGGTCCCCTGGGGCTGGGACCGTGGCTGGGCTGCCTACTTGGCAGGGCAGTGCCTGGGCAAGATGTGTCTGCTTGTCCCGTCCTAGCCTCACACCCCAGCTGCCCTGCCCTTCTCCCTACTGCCGCCCGCCCCCGTCATGCCCTCTGCACATCACTTCCTGCTTGGTCACCTCCAGTGAGAAGACACTGTCACCTCCCCAGGCAGTGCCCCGCTCCGAACTTTCCTGTACTTGTCCCGCCCCACAGCTAAACAGTAAACAACGGGGTGGGTGCCGGCAGGGGTCCTGGGCACCTAGGCCGCCCCCAGCCCCAGTCTCCCATCCACCCTCCCCTTCATGGGGACACCTGTGCCCTTCATGGGGACACTGTGTCCCTTACCGAACACCTGGTGGGTAGAGTTGGTGCAGCTTCCCCTCCCCACGGCCAAGGGCACCGCTGTTTGGGGAAGGCTGGTGACCACATGGGCCTGGTAGGGTGCGGGGGGCCCCCAGCGGAGATGCACCCTGGGTCGCTGCTCGTCCCCTACGTCATTCTCCAAACCACTGCACACCCCAGCGCTCTCTGGCTGGGAAAGAGCAGGGTCGCAGGCCCAGGGGAGGTGGGGAGCAGAGGCGCCACTGTCTCTCCCAGACTGATGATGTTCCAGGGCAGGGCAGGGGCGTGCCCTCCCCCCCAGACCCACAGCCATCTCAGGTTGAGTCAGCCTGAGCCGGGTGTTGCCAGGACGTGGGGTGGGGTGAGACCCTGCTTTCCCTGTGTACGCCTCCCTCCCGGGTGAGGGGCTGCTGGGGCTGGGGTCCTGCTCCTGGCAGGGGGTTAGGGAGCACAAACGGCAGCATAAACCTCGGAGGGGGTCCTGGCCCCAAGTGTCGTCTCCCCAGGGTGTCTCCTCCCTGTCTGCCTTACGTGCTCGTGGTGGAACACGCCCCCAGTGTGGCAGGGTGCCTCTCCAGGCCTCAGTTTCCCCTCCAGCAGAGGAGCATGATGCACGCTGGCCTGGCCCTGTCCTGGGGATAAAGTGCTGTGAGTGAGCGTCTTTGAAGGGAGCTGGTGGGCGTGCGGGCCCTTGACAAACACGGATGAGGCACCTACTGTGTGCCACTCACGCTTGCAGCAGTTGCAGGACTGCGGCGGAACAGACGGTTCTTGATGGGGTGGCGCTTGAGGGGGCGGAGAGGGGTGGCGGGCACCGCCTGGGGCCCATTTCCCCTCTGCAGCTGGCAGCCCTGCGCTCAGTCCTCTTTGGCTTTCGAGGACCACAGCGGGGCAGTGATGGGGGGGAGTCTCACAGCGCCCTCCCCAAGCCCAGGGGGACCCAGCCGTTGGGACACCCCTCCCCATCTGCGGCCTCACCCCCACCCCGGGGGGTATCTTGAACATAACAGGAAATTTCGAATAACAGGAAACCAAGACCAGGCAGGGCCCCACCCCGCCCCGGCAGAGCCACCCGGGCCTCAGTCTGCCCCCGGGGGAGGCCATGAACGCCACGGGGTCCCCGACGGTGCCCCCTGGCTCCTGCCAGCAGCCGGCGGCCGGGCGGCACAGCCGGCTTACCGTCCCGGTCGACAACCACACGGGCCGGCCGG